GACGTAAATAAGGCATAATGTTTGGTTTTAATCTAAGCCAACATGAAAAGACATGCGTTTATTACGACTCCGCTTATAACGACCGACCGCTTTTAACGACGGAATTTTAAACAATATTGTCCGGTTACAACGACAACCCATTAAAAAAATCGTAGATAAGAAGCTGTCTCCGCCCCGCGCACCTTCTTTACCACAACGTCGCTGACTAGAATGCGACTGTTTATTATTCGACAGTAATTCGCAGACGATTATTAGTGAAAACGCATACAAAAATGGCTTCTAGAAAACGAAAATGTTTCTCCATTGAAGAAAAAAGTATAATAATACAACGTTTAGAAGCTGGCGAGTCAAATATAACGATTGCAAAGGAATTCGGTGTAAATCATTCCACAATATCGACAATTAAGAAAAATAAACACAAGATAGAATCTTTATTCAATGCGAATGTTTTAAAACCGAAACGTGTGAGGGTGTCGTCTCAAAAACAAGTTGACTGTGCACTTTTAGAATGGTATAAACTGCAACGTAATCGAGGAATACCTGTAAATGGGCCTATGCTTCAACAAAAGGCAAATTTTTTTGCTAAAGAGCTAAACATTTTTAATTTTGATTGTTCAGCAAGTTGTATTAACCGTTTCAAGAATAGACACAATATTGTCGGCGGAAAAATTACTGGAGAGTCTTTGTCAGTTGAGCAGAACGATGTGAACGAATGGCTAACCAAAGTTTGGCCTAAGTTGCGCGAAAAATTTAGTGACGGCGAAATATTTAATGCAGATGAAACTGGATTATTCTATAAACTAACGCCAGATAAAACATTAAAATTTAGAGGGGAAAAATGCTCGGGAGGAAAACTTTCGAAAGACAGAATAACTGTGATGGTTGCAGCTAACATGAGTGGTACGATAAAAAAGAAGTTGTTAATTATCGGCAAATCAAAGAACCCAAGATGTTTTAAAAATGTACAATCTCTGCCGGTATATTATGAGAGCAATCTCAAGGCCTGGATGACATCTGATATCTTTATCAAATGGGTACGCGATTGGGACCGTGAACTGACTAAAAATAAAAAAAAATCCTGCTTCTGGTTGACAATTGTCCAGCTCATCCCTCAGTCAGTGACTTGAAAAGCATAACTCTTACTTTCCTGCCTCCTAACACAACATCTGTGTTGCAAACTATGGACCAAGGAATAATTCGAGCATTAAAATCAAACTTTCGTAAAAATCTCGTTCTAAAAATTGTCGTCAGTCTTGATGCAAATGAAGACACGAGTGCCAAGTTTCCGAAGATCACAATACTGGATGCCATTCTAATGATTTATGATGCCTGGAACAAGCTTACGACAGCGACGATTTCCAACTGTTATAAACATGCTGGATTTATAAGAGATAGTCCCAGTGTCCCAGTGGCTGCCGACAACGACGATGATGATCAGGTTCCGCTGTCTCTCTGGGCGAGAGCTCTGAATAAAAGACTACCTATAGCAAATGAAGAACTTGAACAATATTCTGCTGTTGATGATGATCTCGCAACGTGTGAGTAGCCTACTGACGAAAATATTCTACAAAATATTATCGTCAACAGCCAAGATAGCGACGATAATACAGATGACTGCCTGGAAGAAAATTGTACGTTTCCGAGTGTAAATGAAGCTCTCAAAGCTGCAGAAGTGTTGAATGTGTTTGTGCATTCTAATTTTAATGACGACAATATGAAAAGTTATGTCTCGTTTGCATAATGCAGTTCGTACTTGTTTTTATAAAAATCAAAAACAGTCAAAGATTACAGACTTTTTCCACTAGGTATTTCACTTTTAGTTATACATATTTATATATGTACGTATTATATGTGTATAGATATGTAGGTACATACATATGTATTTGGCAAAGTTTATGTGAAACTATTTTTTCATTTCTTTTCATTCCTATTAGAAATAAATATTTTGATTTGAATGTCTTTTTTTCTGTAATGTATCATGTAAACATTAATATGTAAATATTATGTCGTAAAAAACAAAAATCAAAATTGTTATCTCTTTATAACGACTTCCGGTTAGTACGACGCAATGACACAGGTCCCTTGGCCGTCGTTATAACCGGATTCTACTGTAATATCTTTACCACCAATTGTACGCTTGTAGATATTCTGCAGTTAAAATTTATAACTACGCTTCCATATTCAGTTCTCACAGACCGCTCCGAATATCTTGCGTAGCACCTTTCTTTCAAAAATGGATAGAGCGGATTCATCTGTTTTAGTTAGCGTCCATGCCTCTGATCCATATGTGAGAACGGGGATTATCAGTGTTCTATACAGCCTTATACGAGTTTTTTGATATAGACGTTTGTTAGCTAAGTACTTTGATAGACCATGATAACACCTGTTTGCAATTATTATTCGTCTTTTTATTTCCTCAGATGTGTTATTATTGGGGTTAACCGATGTCCCTAGATATATGAACTCTTTGACTGCTTCGAAGTTTTGATCATTGATGATTAAATTTGCGTCAACATTTCCAGCTCTTGTGTTTGTGTTAGTCGCCATGAATTTGGTTTTATTTTGATTTATATATAACCCTATTCGTTCTGCTGCTGCTACTAACTCGGTTAGGATTTCCGCAGTTCTCGCCCTGGTTTCTTGTTATAATGTCCACGTTGTCTGCATATGCTAAAATTTGGACAATATTTGAACAAATATTGTTCCCCTGCTATCTAAATTAGCGTACAACTTTTTCTGCGACATTAAAAAGCTGACACGCCAGCGCATCTCCCTGCCTTAACCCCTATGTATTTCAAATGGGGTTGACGAGTCGTTTTGAATTTTTACTGCTGATAGCATCTTCGCCATTGTCACTTTTATCAGACATGAGTTTTTTTTAATTCCTAACTCATTCATAGCGTTGTAAAGACTTGGCCTTAAGACTCTGTCATATGCCGCTTTAAAATCGACAAAATATGATACATATCTATATTAAACTCTTGCGCTTTTTCGAGGATCTGACGCTAATTGTTGAACGTCCACGCCTGAATCCTGCCTGATATTCTCCTAGAAACATTTCGGTATAAGGCTTTAATCTCTCGTGCAAAATGTTTGACAATATCTTGTATGCTGTATTTAGTAAAGTTATTTCGCTGTAATTATTGCATTCCAGTTGGTTTCCCTTTGTGTGTAACGGGTAAATTAAGCCTAAGCTCCATTCTTCAGGCATTTGCTCCTCAGATCAAATTTTACAAACAATTTCTCGCATCACCTTGGTGAGCTGCTCTCCACCGTGCTTAAATAACTCTGCTGGGATGCCATCGCTGTCAATTTGTTATACTTCACAGTTATAACACAAAAGCCGAAATAGGTAATAATTACTTTTACATATGTGTGGACGAGACCACTGACTCGTCAGGAGGATATATTGTGCACTTATTGATTGGTGTACTTAGCGATAAAACCTTTCCAAAATCGTATTTAATTTCCTGTAAGCAAGTGGAAAAAACCAACGCTCTAACAATATCACGGTTTCTACAAGAAGCATTAGCAAACTTTTTTCTTCCTGCTGCTGTGCCTAATGGTAAATTATTGCTTATTTTATCTGATGCCGCTCCATATATGGTGAAAGCAGGACAAAATTTTAAAATATTTTATTAAAACTTAATACTTAGCGCATGGAATAAACAGAGTTGCGGAGGAAGTAAGAAAAAAATTCCTCTAGTTAACAGTTTAATAGCGAACGTCAAAAAGGTACTCCTGAAATCACCTGTAAGAATACAATGTTACAGAGATATGCTTCCTGCTGTTCCACTGCCACCGCAACCCATCTTAACACGTTGGGGAACATGGTTGGAAGCAGCTATTTCTATGCTGATCATTTTGTTGATTTAAAAAAAGTAATTAACCTTTTAACGGATGATAGTTGATCTTTATTGGAAGCTAAGCAAGCTTTCCAAAATAACATCTTCCAACAGCAACTGTCATTCATAAAATCATATTATAGTTGTGTCCAGAAAACATTAACTCTATTAGAATGCTCCAAATTATCACTGTTAGAGAGTACAATTTTAATAAAAGAATTTGAGTCATTGTGTCAAAACGTTGGAATTGAAAAAAAAAATTTTTTTAAACTTAAAGTATCCATGGAAAAAAATAGTGGTTACCAGGTACTTTCTGAAGTGGTTTAAGTACTAGCTGGGACATTTTCTGAACCACTTAATTTAGAACCATCTATTATAGTAAATTTGAAAAATGCCCCAGTTACATCAGTAGTTGATCTCGAAAGAAGATTTTCTATTTACAAAATATAATGTATTGAGACAGAAGCCATAAGTTTTTATTAGAAAACTTTGAACATCATTTGATAATCTATTGTTACCACAATTCAAAATAATATTTATATGTTAAAATAATCGTATATGTTATGTATTTATAATATTGTAAGTATTTTTGTAAATAAAAAATTATTGTACCTAAATATTTTTTATTACATGCATATTTTGTAGATAAATATGCATATTTTGTATAAAATACTACATATTTGCCTAAGTCTAGGATGCTTAATTGATATTTTACGTACGGTACATACAAGAAAAAAATGCATGTGAGGACTTGTTAGAAAAATATGTGACAGTGGTAAAACTGTCGACTTATTATTATCTGAAAATCATTTTGGATTTGTGCAAGACAAATCAACAACAGATGTAATTTTTATTATTGCAACAACTTATGCAAAAATATAGATCTTAAGAAAGCATATGATAGAGTAGGATTGTCTTAGGGCTCAGATCTCAGTGCTTAGTCCTTAAGTTATTCTCATCAGAGTTGGATCTGATAACATATAAAGAAGTGTAACATTCCTTGATGTTTTGTTTCACTGTGTATATTAACTATTTTTACTCTAGTATTAACTAGAGCAGTGGAGAGAAAAAGTTCTTGGAGAAAAAGATATAAAACTCGGTAGTACAAAAATAGAGTATATGAAATGGTTTACTATAAATGTAAGCATTACTTACTTTTAATACATAAGTTCCAGGTAACAAAAGCCTCCAAAATTCTCCAGTTTTGTCCCAACTTTTAAAGTATATTTCTTTAGACTCTCTTCCTATTTTTACTGCATCCCTACCTTCTATCTTTAATTTAGCTTCTACAGGTTTACGTGTAATGAAATCCAATATTCTTCCTGTTACTCCTCTGTTTGCTTGCATACAATACAGCAAAAGTGACTGAAATAAAATTAATATTTTTTATACTTATTAAGTTTTGTACCTCCTTGTAAGTTGTTTTTATAGATCAAGTTATATATAAAAGAAAATTAGTTGACTTGCTATACCTGTCTATTATCGTCCCATAATTTGGGAAGAAGTTCTTTTGGGGGATATTTGCAACAGGATAATTCCAGAGTGAGTTCCATACATCCGTGGTAATTATAGTTGTAGTCTCCCATGCCACCTACAATATAAAAGAGTGGCTGAAGAATAGTGATTGAACCATGGACGTATAAACACAGTCTGTGTTTATACGTCCATGGATTGAACTAATACCAGCTTTCCATCACATGACAGGCATGTGTCAAGGTCTAAACTCTATACTTTTTAAATATAAGTGGGTGTAAATCTTCATTACTCATTGCAATTAATTTTATCAATCACTCGAATATCTCTAAATAAGCGATTTTCAACCTGAATTCCTAATAAAAAAAATTAATTCACACAGAAAGAAAAGCAAAATGATATTCATTCAGATATTACAAAAAATTAAGTCAGTACAGTACATGACTGTAAAATTTAATTTTTATAAATATGGTTGTATCAGTAGGTACCGTCAAATCTCGAATAAAACTATTGTGAACTATAGTCAAATGCACACTGAGAGTCCAGTACAACCAAGTGGCGCCGACCTCGGTCGAATCATAGGATAGTGTCATCGCCACGTAAAATAAATAATGCATTACTTTAAAAATTCCCGCGTTCGCCACCAAAGCGCAGCGCCCAGCCGCCCAGCCACCGCCCAGCTTAGAGCCAGGTATCGCACCATGGAGTTGGACCAGAAAACTTAGAGAACTACGAACACAGAGAAGCGACACTCCTTTGAAGTTTCGTGGCCAAGCCGCCAATGACAGATAACAACCAGAAAATTATTAGTCAGTGGGCATATCACACAATATAAGTTCTTAAATAAAATTGAGCAGATATGTTGACTTTCAATAAATATAAAATATTGCACTCAAAAAGTGGTTACATGCAGAGCCGGCTTTTGTTGATATTCTTAATGGTGTCATTATTTTTGATTTACAAAAGGTTGCAAATGCATCGCACAACGCAAAGTAATGGTGAAAATCATATTGATCGAACCATAGATGAAAATACTTTTTTGTTTATACTTACAACTATAAGAGTACTAGTATATTCTAAGTATATTGTATGAAATATTTAACTTTTGTCAATATCTAATCTTAATAAATTTACAGTTTTCTCCTGATTAAGTCACAAAATTGTCACTAAATATTGAGATATACAACAAATAAATTAGTGTAAGAAACCATTTCTGCGTATGTTGAAGAGTCACCGGATGGCAATTAGTTACTCCACCCGATCCTAAAATTCCATATAAGATGAGATTGTAAATACTATGATAGAGAAATCATTGAAACCATATTACTGATCATGGAATTCGGATACCAAGATCCGGCAGAGAAGGACAATCACAAGACGGCAAGGCCTTCTCGATCGCCAGCAGAAGAAATCATTGCCATTCTAATGGAAAGATAAACCTCACGATCTGCACATGGAATGTTAAAACATTATATGAGGCAGGTAAGACTTATAATGCAATCAAGGAGATGGATAGACTATCAATAGACATAATGGGAATAAGTGAGATGAGATGGCCGAACTCTGGGAAATGTAAAATTAATGATCATCATATCTATTACTCAGGTAGCCCTGATGGAACACACGAAAATGGGGTAGGTATAATCTTAAATCAAGAAACTGCCACACATGTTAAAAACTTTGTACCTATATCCAAAAGAATACTCCTCCTTCAACTTAATACCTACCCAATTACATCTAACATTATTTAGGTATATGCCCCTACAGCTGACAAACCGGACGAGATAAGTGAAGCATTTTATAACAAACACCTTAAAACGCCACCCCATAAACTTTGATTATGGGTGATCTAGATGCCAAAATTGGTAGGGGACAATCGGGAGAATTCATAGGACAATTTGGACTTGGAGAAAGAAATGAGCGAGGAGACCGACTGGGTGAATTTGTAGCAGAAGAAAAGTTTGTGATTACTAACACTTACTTCAAACTCCCACACAGAAGATTATACACATGGAAATCACCTCAAGATACTCCAGGCCGCATAGTGAGAAATCAAATAGATTACATTCTGATTAATAAAAGATTCCGGAACAGCATAACATCAGTCAAGACACTGGCAACATTAGGCTCAGGCTAAAGAAGGTTAGACGTAGTGTCAATCCAAAATTCGACATCAAGCTATTAAAAGACCAACACACAGAACATAGTGTAAAGCGGTATATACAGAACAATTTGAATACCGTTATTCAATCGGATGTAATGGACCAGGAGCTAGAAAAGTTACATACATTTTCAAAAGACAAAAATTAAGAAGAAATCGTGGATGACAAATGAGATTCTAGATATGATGCAAGAGAGGCGAAAGTTCAAAGATCAAGACATGTCATTATACAAAAGAATCGATAAAAAGATCAAAAAAGCTATTATAATAGCTAAGATAGATGCTAGATTTGCTAATATAGATGCCTTTAAACTAGGAACAAATGAAGAGCAATTCCGAGAGGTCTTAGGGAATAAGTTCGAATCTGATCCTTCACATAATCAAGATCAAATTGACGAGATTAATAAAAACCTAAATAAAAACCTTCTCGCAGCAGGACTACAGGTCGCAAAGAAAACAAGGACTAAAGAAGACAAAATAAGCAATGAAACTAAACAGCTAATGACGGAAAGAAGACAACTACTAGCGCAAAACAAACGCCATACTCAAGAATATAGAGAACTTAATAAAACAATTAGAAAAGAACTAAAACGCGACATACAAAAATGGAACGAGAACTTAATAGAGCGAGTCATTGAAAACGACAGAGGCTTAAAATGTCTAAGACCCGCACTGGGAGTTCAAAAAATCATCAAAATTATAGACGCTAACAATAAGGTAGAGAAGGACAAATATAAAATAACAAATATTGTCGAAGACTTCTACACATCCTTGTACAGCTCGCAAGGCCAGCCTAATGAAACAACAAAGGAGAACGTCAAAAGAAAAATAAAAAACGTGGGATCAGAAGTACTACTAAATATAAAGGGATACGAAATAGAAAGAGCTTTAAAAGAACTAAAAAATAAAAAAGCTGCAGGACACGACGGTATAATTGCCGAGCTCTTGAAAACAAGCAAGACATTAACAATCCCTGTACTAACAAAGCTATTTAATAGATGTCTCTATAATAGCCAGATCCCTAAAGACTGGAACAAAAGTCTAGTAATACTCTTACACAAAAAAGGAGACAAATCTGATCTACAGAATTATAGACCTATATCGTTGCTCAGTCAAGTATACAAACTATTTATGAGAATTATTAACAACCGGTTAACCTACAAAATGGATAATTACCAATCGGTTGAACAGGCTGGCTTCCGCAAAGGATATAGTACATCAGACCATCTGCTGACAATGAGAACATTTATAGAGAAGGCAAATGAAAACCAACTACCCGTATTTCTTGCCTTCGTCGACTATGTTAAGGCATTTGATAGTATCGAGATGTGGGCCATAGAACAAGCTATTAATAATTGTAGAATAGACTCGAGATATAGGCAACTAATACATAATATATATATATATATATATATATATATATATATATATATATATATATATATCATATATATATATATATATATATATATATATATATATATATATATATATATATATATATATATATGAAAATGCAACTATGATAGTACAACTAGACGAAAATACAAATCCTATCCCCATTAAGAGAGGAGTGAGACAAGGAGACGTAATATCGCCAAAGCTTTTCAACCTAGCCCTAGAAGACGTCTTCAAAACTACAAATTGGTCAACCTATGGCATTAACGTTAATGGCAACAAGTTAAACCACCTCAGATTCTCTGACGACATAGTGATTATAGCGAACACATTCGAGGAACTGCAAATTATGTTGGGGGAACTAGCAGCCACCTCCCAATACGTCGGCCTAAAAATGAATATGAAAAAAACAAAAATAATGACAAACACAGATAACCCCAGACATATAACTATAAACGGCAGTGAGATAGAACAAATCCAGGAATATATCTACCTAGGCCAAATCCTGAGACTTGACAAAGAGAACCAAAGTGCAGAAATTACTAGAAGAGCAAGACTAACATGGGCAGAATTTGGAAAACTTAGTTGGATACTTAAGAGCCGCAAAATACCCTACTTGAGGAGCAAAGTGTTCAACCAATGCATCCTTCCTATCATGACATATGGATGTCAAACCTGGACACTAACCAAGGCAAACACGAATAAACTAGCCACAACAGAAAGAACAATGGAAAGAGCAATGTTAGGTATACGACTGTCAGATAAAAAGAGGAACGACTGCGTAAGATCCAAAACAAAAGTCGAGGACATAACAATAAAAATTGCAAAACTTTAATGGAGCTTCGCGGGCCACACTGCTAGACAGAAAGACCAACGTTGGAATACTACAATACAACATTGGATACCTTACGAAAGTAAACGACCAAGAGGAAAACCACAGATGAGATGGGTTGATGACATTAGAAGAATAGCCGGAACAAATTGGAAATATGTTGCTCAGGATAGAGACCGATGGAAGGAGTTGGGAGAGGCCTATGTCCAAACTGGACGACAGAAGGCTAAGAAGAAGAAGATCATGACTGTTTGTATTAGTTCCTATTTCTCCTTTAAGTTAACCGTCGTAATTCTCCCCAATCTCTTTTTTTTGGGGATTTTTTGCTTCAGTTTGACTATTTTCAATATATGGTTACTGTTGGCATCTGCTCCTATGTAGCTTCTACTATCAGTCACAGATCTATTGTGTTTTCTTTAAATGAGAACATGGTCGATGTGAAGGAGTAGAGTAGTAGAGTAATACATGGATACTATGGACAGCAGATGAGGAAGTTGAAACCATATGGTAAACTATGTGTTATGTACTATTATATAGTTTCTACCATGCTTTTCATAACGAGTGTAGGTTTATAATGGATGAAAATTCCACACTAGAGCACCAAAAGGTCATTACGAGGGTCATTTCGGGCCCATGCCCGTATCGTAGCACAGGCACGAGCCAAATATTTAAAAAAAAATTCTTCTATGCAATTAAAAATATCAGATTAAAAGACAATGACTCAATAAGTTGATTTATTACCGAACAAAGTAAATATCGAAATTATGGTCTTCTCATTTTAATTCAACCCTAATTATCTATTTAGTGAGAAATATTGAATATCTACCTTCTACTTGATACCAATCAGCTCCGTTTACGACACCATGTTCAAATGTTTGTTGCACACCTTCACAGTGTACTTCGGTATGCATTTCTGGATGATTGTCTGAATAAGTCTTTGCTAAAAACTTGAATACGTCGTCGTCTGGTGTTAAAAATTCTCTTCTATAAAATTCTAAAAAAGATACATAAATAATAAATATGTCAAACAATACATTAATATATATTTTATATAACTAATAACTAACAAAATAACTAACTAAACAAAAGGATAAAAGATGAAACCACGAAATACAACAATGGATGCCATGGTTAGAAAGAGAAGCAAAAGAAGACCACAAATAAGATGGGGTGATGACATTAAGAAGATCAGAGGACACAACTGAAAGCAAGCGGCGCAAAATAGAAGATACTGGATTGATTTGGGGGAGGCCTATGTCCAAAGTTGGATTACTTAAGGCTGAAGAAGAAGAAGAAATAACTAACAAATATTCCATGTCCTACCGTCGAATGTAAAGGTGGTGTATCGGTCTCTGTGTTACTAAAATCCGAATTTCGGACAATCGCGAGCATCGATATACAAAATATAAATAGTGAAGATCGGTGGTGTTTTTTGTATCGATTTAAAAACAATAACTAAGCTAATTAAGTGATAAGGTAGATAAGTCTTTTTACTCGGAGCGGTTAAAGCGGTTCGTTTGACTCGGTTGTTCGAGCCTGCAATGGTTCTAAGGACTTATTAATTAAATAGTAATTGTTAATTTAGGCGAGAGCGAAATAACAAATTTCTGAAAAGAATTACCTTATTTAACTTTTATTTAAAAATCCGTTATAAAAGGTATATAATTAAAAGATCTTTTTATGCTACAACAAAGAACGTTCTCGGACTAACAAGTCCATCAGTAGTGTATTTACCTGGAATAAGTATTACCACTTAAGTGAATACAAACTTAAAGAATAAATTTTAACTAAGATTTAAAAAGCAATCTGGTTAAACGCTTATCTGGTGTATATGAGTCAAAACACTAAATATTTGGATGAAAACCCTTAATATATTTAAATAATAATATAAGTTTAAATATATGTTTAAAAACTATATGTTTAAAACCACTGTTATATATTTGTTAAAAAATTAGTGTGATATTCAAGTTTTTAACAGATACACTTAACAGTTTCGTTCGAACCTTCGTATAGTGCGGACCGGTGTTCGAGGTTGTTTCGTATTCAATCGAATTTATTTAGGGTTAATTAGGTTTACGTTAATTTTAAGTTATTAGTTTAACATTTGTACTGTAAGTATTAATATTTCCTATATTTTTTTGATAAATTCTTAACCCTGGGATGTCCCAGGGTAAAAATGGGGTATAGGTTATTCCACGAATATACGACTGTTTGGAATTATTGCTACAACGAATATTTTACTGTACAAGTAGAAGTATGAAAGTAAATTGGTCTAATTTTTATTCCATAAAAACGGATCTTCTGTTACTATGACATATAAACTAAAATTATTTCAGTTAGTAGATGTTCAGATAGACGCAAAATTTATTGTGAAAATTAATCCGAAAATAACAAAAAAAATTACGTAGCGCTCCTACAAATAAATACAATGACCTCTATGAAGATAAAATGTGTTCATCAGCCATTTGGGTTGGATTTCGGTGTAATGTAAACACCAAAGAGGCGCGCCGGGTATCTTTATTATTTTATTAGGTATTACAACGGTAATAAAAAGAAATATATTATTTTGAATATAAATAAAAAGAATTTGGCAGAAGGATGGTTCAGAAACCAGAAAAAGAATCTGGTATTCCACTTTGTTACTTTTTTGTTTGCTTTGAGTGGATATACTCTTAAAAGTTCCGAAAGTAAAGGGTATAACATGGCGGCTATTGATAGTTAAAGTACCGAGTCATTACAGATATTAAAAAGTAACGAAAATTTAAATACAGTTTCATAAATCGCCGACTGATTTTAGTTTTAAAAACCGTCTGTATAGAGGTGTTCGGTGAAGAGACGTGTCCGTTAAGAGAGAGTTTAGTGTAGTGTATTTGTTTGCAATGGTGATTAGGAAAATAAGAGTAAGAGTAAGTTTTTTTGTTTTTTTTTAATACTTATTGAATATTCGACTAAATAAATTAAACTATTTAATCACTTAAGTATTGTTACACTTCGTTTAAATCACTTAATTCAAAAACCAACTTGTTTACCATACTAAAGTCAATGAGAGTAATTATACGAGTATACTTCAAAATCTGAATTACAACTATTCTATAAACCATCAATTCTATATTTAGGTCACAACTTCATATTTAAATCTAAGGTGTATATCTGTTATAACAGTATTTTAAAAATGGGGAGAATTTACCATTGTACAATTCAGCACATTGGACCATTTAAGTTGACACCTTAAAGCGAATTTAAAACAGTCGTATATTCGTGGAATGGAGTATATGTGGCAAAGACTCACCTCTACAGGATCAAGTTGATAACGACGTGTTAATTAATATTCACGTCGAAGATATTGTTTTTTCTGAGGTTAATAATTGTAATAATACTTCAAATATTTTGATTTCCGATGATTCTATTATTAATAATTAAAATATTAAATCTATTGTTAATGATGGCAATAAAAACTTGCCGTCTACAACTCAACAATATAAACAATCAAGTCGGGTTTTAAATACTACAAATCGATTTAGCGATACTGATACGGGGCCGTATTTTATCTTTGTTCAACATAATGATTTAAACTTAGGTCGTCTTCATCCTATGAAAATAGGAGAAAAATTAAGTTCTCTCGCGGATTACGATAAAAATATAACTGAAATTGTTAGTGTTGGCAGGAATAGAATTAAAATCGAAGTAGATTCGGGATTGGTTGCAAATAGGCTGGTAGAAGAATCTTTTTTTGAAAAAAATAATTTAATTGCATTTACACCTAATTATTTGACAGAAAAAAGAGGTTTAGTTCGCTCTGTGGACACTACTATAAGTGAAAATAAACTCCTAAATATTATAAAATCGAATGTAATGGTTAAAAGAGTTCAAAGAATGACTAGATTAATACAAAAAGACGGTATATCGGAGGGAATCCCAAGACAGATGATTATTGTTACTTTTGCGGGCAAATTAATTCCTCAATTCATCTACATTAATAAAGTTAGATGCCCGGTCGAGGTATTTGTCAGTCCGGTCATGCAATGTTACCAGTGTTTGCGTTATGGTCATTCGGCTACTCAATTTAAATAAAAAGAAAGGCGCAAAAAATGTGGGAAGGAAGAAAATAAAGATTGTCCTGAAAAATGTAACACTTTTTGCGTTCATTGTCAAAATAGTGGTCACAAATCAATTTTCAGGGAATGTCCTGAATATATTAAGCAGAGGAAAACGAAAGAAACTTGAACATTTCGTTTAAGGAAGCTCAGAAAATATCTGATAATCCAGGTTATTCGAGCCTAGTTCAGAAGAATAGATTTGCACCGTTAATCAACTCTGACACGGAATTTCCCCCACTAAAATTTGATTCATCTCGTCAGTTCAATTCTGGTACAGTTCATAAGAATAACAATATTCCCAAACGTCATTCATCCCCGGTAGTTAGCCCCCTCCCCAAAAAAAGAAAAAATAGCGATACTACTATTAATTTCCCTCCTATTCGTAGAGAGTTTCCGACTAGTTTCTGTGCTGGTCCCGTATTCCAATTCGGACAACCTGAACCTGTAGATGAATTTAGTAAATTTATCAATCAGCTTAGTGTTACCCTTAAAAATTTTATTAAACAAAGCTTTCAAGATTTTGTTAATGCTTCTCCAAATATGGCTCCTAATCTTAAAGACAATGACATTGAATTCGAGAACAAAGTTAAAGAAGTTGTTAATAACATTTTTACTTAATATTCATGGCTATCAAAGGTATTAAAATTATTCAGTGGAATATTCGATCACTTAACGCTAACAAATATTCTTTACATCAGTTACTTCTTGAAGAACATTTTGATATAGCAGTTTTATCGGAAACTTGGTCCAAACCCTGAGATAATGTTTGTTTTAGTAATTTTAATATAGTAAGTAAAAGTAGAGCTAACGGATATGGTGGAGTAGCTATACTTATATCAAATAACATCAATTACGAACCTATTTCATTTGTTAATAATTTCAATCAAAACTTGGAAGTTTGTGGCGTAAACGTTAGTATTGACAAGAAAAAGTATACGATTTTAAGTTTATACCGACCAGTAAAAACAAAAGTATCAGTGCAAGATTATGTCAACCTTTTTTCACAAATTAACAATGACTGTATTATTTCTGGGGATTTTAATGCGCACCACGGATTATGAGGATCAAATTCCTGTTCTTCAGAGGGTAATATATTAGTGGAAGCCTTGGATTCTTTTCCTCATTTCGTAGACGATGGATCGGCTACTAGGGCTACTCCTCCAGGTCATGCCAAATCTGTTGTAGATCTCACCATTTTATCTTCCAATTTATGCTCAACTTTTGACTGGACTGTTATACAAGATACATATGGATCCGATCACTTTCCTATTCGAATGTCTATCAATAATATTAAAATAGAAAACACGAGGTTTATATCTACAGTTAGGTGGTCGATGACTAATGCTAACTGGGATCATTTCAGGCTTACCATGGAGGAAGCGCTCACATTGAAGCCAGTTATTAATATTACTAACGAGATGATTTTATTCCTATTAAATTCCGTTACAAATGCAGCGAACAAATCTTGCACACCAATTAAACATTCAACTAAACCTGTAAAAGTTCCACCGTGGTGGGATGAGGAGTGCCTAGCTGCTTCAATATTAATTCAAAATTATTTTAAAAAGTTTAAATCTAATCTAACTCTTTTAAATTTTAATGAATATAAAAGAAACGAGGCTATGTGTAAACGTACTTTTCGCTTAAAAGCTAAATCTAGCTGGGTACAGTACTGCTCTTCTCTTAATAGGCAAACCCCTTCATCAGACATTTGGAAAAGGGTAAATAAAATTCAGTCTCAGAAAAAAAATTATCATTAATGATGAATCAGCAGTTAAACAACTTTTATCTAAAATTGCTCCCGACTCTGTTCATCTACCAATAAATATACCAGAGAATCATATCGATGCCCACTTTTTACTCACTCCTATCACTCCGAGGGAACTTACTAAAATTT